AATTGGGAACCCCTCACATCACAAATAGAGAGGAAAAGACAGGAAGTTGTTTGAGAACTTCAAAATAAGAATATATGAACAAAAAACGGGGATCATGACTAATTTAGATCAGGGGTGTCAAACTCAATTTCATCGCGGGCCACATTAGCATTATGGTTGCACTCAAAGGGCCGGTGGTAACTATATAAAATACATATATAAATATATAATATATATAAAATAATGTATTATATGACATTATTGCCTCTGCATTGGATTATTATCGGATAGGATAATAACTTAGTAATTAACTACGTCTGAAAGCAGAAGTCCAAGGCAAATAATTGCAAGTCTCTTCAGTGCGCATGTCACAAAACAAGATGCATTGTGGGACATGTATTTTATGGGCAACCTGCTTCTGTAAAGCGGCATGTAACCGTATAATAAACGGATTATATTCTTTGCAAGCTCTTGGGGGCCACATAAAATGAAGTTGAGGGCCGGATTTGGCCCCCGGGCCTTGAGTTTGAGACCCCTGGTTTAAGGTGACCTATTAAAGATTATTGTTAAACAAATGGCCAAGAAAAAAACGTAAAGGGAAAATCTAAAAACGAAGTGTAAACGAAATACCAGGACTGACAATATAATGCAATCCTGTGGTAAATAACACCTTACAAAATGTATAGTCCTGAACAACCTGTTGACCTCGCTCTACTCGACTAATCAATGATAACCCTCGACCCTCGGATGCAAACGGTTCTAACAGACAATTATAAGGTTAAACTTAAACAGATAAAGAACTCAACTCATTTTCAATTTGAGTTTATGCTACACTTGAGTAATACTTGTATGCGTGCCTCATGGTGGAATACAGTAAATGTTTTGGTTGAAATGTAATATTTCTAAATTGAATCCTGACATTTCTGTATACATTTGAAAGATTAGTAGTCACTTGAAACACAACACTTCCCGTGACACTGACAGCCTTACTGTACCAACTACTTAGGAGTTCTAAGTTGTTTTTGAAACTATCTTAAGTCCTTTTCAAGAGGTTGGTGTTGCATGTTAAACAGGCTGAACTGCGGCAATGGCTCGAGGATGTGCAGCACTGTTGTTGAAGGCACAGGGGGGTATGTTGTGTCCTCCTTAGGTTGAGACCGGTCCATTTGAACCCTGCGGTCTCTATCGGCTTATTGTTCGGCTCTGGCTGCGTCCCTCTCCAGTGATGTCACAGCATTCCAGGGAGCGGATAAATGAGTTAGTGTTAGGGCAGATGAGCAGCATCGTGAATGCTGCTGCTAGTAGTGGGTCGAAGGGCACAAGGAGCCTTTAGCAGTGCAACTGTGCAAACACTCACCAGAACACCTACGCGCCTCCTCCGAGCCCTCGGTTCACTCAGTTTGTTGTAAAATATGACAACTCTTATGAGGCATAGCCTTCAGATCCGAATAGATACATTTCAATAAGATGGAGAAGGTATTTTTAGATTTCAGGGTTTTCTGTTCGTCAGTCAACTATCCTGCTGTTATTATACAAGTCAACTTAGCAAAGACATGTTCATGGACTCATGTGGTTACAAGTATTTATTGGATGGCTTGTGTTTTAACCAAGCAATACTTTCCCCCTGCACCTAATATTTGAGAAGACTTAAATTGGTCATTGAAGTCCATTTCCTGACCTAAAGCATCCCTGTCTGAGTCAATGAAAGTGAACCTTAGTGTTGGTAGGAATCTTCAAGAAGTCTTTTTTTAAGCCTGGAGATCTTTTGTAGCACACTTAATTTGTGCTGTTCGCCAAGGCAGAAGAAAAGGTTGATATCCTATCTAGGATTAAATGTGTTTGTTTGTGTGATTCTTTTACAACTAGTCTGAATGCTTAAGGCTGGAAATACCCTGCTGAAGTCATTGGGCTTCTTGCTTTAGTGTTGGGATCAGGATGCTGTTATAAAGATACATTTCTCAAAGGACTTATTACTCCTCACACAAGATTCATGCTTTCTCTATGTTTTACGTCATTACACGTAAGGTAGCTTGATTTTTACTGGAATTATTAAGAGACCGGAAGGAAGTGTTTTAAGGTACATCTGAACAGGAAACATATATTGATCTCGCCTAAACAGGTAACAGTTAATGGTGTGAAAAAGAACTGGCAACCAGGTGTATAGAGTATACAGTGTGACTACAGTTATTTTACTTACATTTGGGACAATGTGTCAATTGCAGATATGTTGTCCACTAACAAGGAACAGACGGCATATAATGCTTTAAAACATGCAACAACAAGCAATGGCATGTGACTTGTGACAAGACAAACGTCAGCATTAGTATAAAGGGAAGGAAAAAAAGAAATGACAATGTACAAATATTGTACAGTGTTGTGATTGTGTGTTTTCTATCGCCTGTCCACTTCTGTCTGGGGTTAGTTACTCTTCAAATGTTGCACAAGATAGATAGTGTGACCTATTATGCTAGACTGCAAAACCATTAATCAGCATACTGAGAAGAATCCTAATAACGTTGTCTCTTCTTTACAGATTGTCAAAATGTTGCATTGAGTAATGCACCGAGTGTTGATATTCATGATGGTGGTCTGGGGAGCGCACGGATGCCCCAATTCAGGCAAGTGCCCCCCGACCCTGACGCCCAATTCCACCTCCAAGGAATTCTGTTACTCCGCCCGAATTCGCAGTACAGTGCTGCAAGGTTTACCTTTTGGGGGGGTGCCTACAGTCCTTGCCCTTGACTTTATGTGCTTTTTGGTGAGTCTTTCTTTCATTTCTTATCAAGTGTCAGAATTGAGGCAAAACCTTTAGAAGAATGTGTTTTCAAATGATAACACTCAAGGAGTTATGTAACCTTTCTCTGTAATGTAAATAAAAGGACTAGATGTGTGTGTGTGTGTGTGTGTGTGTGTGTGTTGACAGTCACTGTTTATGTTGTACTTGTAGGGGCTGCTGGTTGTATTCTCCTTCCTGAGAAAAGTAGCGTGGGACTATGGGCGCCTCGCTCTGGTGAATGACGCTGACAGGTAACTAGAAAACATTGCAACCTTAGGTCCACATCACAGTTTCTTACATGTTATACCTGCTGAATTCACAGCTAATAATTGTTTGGAAAAGTTAACTGTTTGGAAAAACAAAGTGTGTTAACAACAACCAACCTAAACCATAAACATGCTTTGTTTAACATCTTGTTCCTTATGTGATGTCAGGCGTTTTACAGTTGCAGGAGCAACAAGCATTCTAAGGTTTAAATGGGACTTTCGGTTGAGCGTGTGACACGCAGCAAGTCAGGAGCCTGAACCCAATGCCTCTGCTTGACACAGAGCCATTGTTAGGCATTGATATGATTTGCCTTTATTTAGAAAAGTGTTCTGTGTTCAACAGGGACACATTATGAAAGAAGCCTTGTGGCTGCTGACCCCTATTGATTTATCTGTAAAACACACGTGTTATCAGTGTTTGACCAGTAATTGGCCCTTGGTGGCTATTCATACTAGATGCCAAATGACCCTAGACTATTCAGTGTCCTTATTCTAAAGGGTAACGTTAATTTTGTGAAGCAAGCATCACAAGGGTGACACTCCAGACAGGAAGTCTGTCAGCAGTTTCACTTTTGATGGCAATAATGCACTCTGACATTGTCATGCTTTGCCACTTGTGCCATGGTCTGTTCACCTTGAGATAGAAAGGACAGACTGCTGTGGCAATAAGCCTGAAATGGAAAGAAACTAAACTAATGAAACCATTATTTGATGTTGTTTAACCATTTTTTTAAAAATATATTCAAACCCCCATACTGGGCAGCAGAGACCCCCACCAGCTGTAACCACTGAGTATCCGGCAACCCAGAAACCATTATTTATTCAAATCAATTTACCGCACCACTTAAAAGCCACTGTCTGCATCCAAGCCCAGTGGAATATGGATTTTTTAAATATAATTTGAGACTGATGTCTGCACGCTGATCAAATAATAAGAATGGTTATGGAATCAACATGGGCTGATGCAGTGCTCCTTTTTAAACTTTTTAACTCATGAGATGAAACAGGATAATCAAACTGGGGAGAGAAGAAGCTCAGACATCGCTAAAGACCTCTTTGACTGTAAACCCTGTAAAGTATGTGACACAGTGCTCCATCACCTACATCCCCCCGCTGTGTCTGTGGGATCTTGCAGCTCCACTATTTTTGCAGCTGCATGTGAGCAGAGTACTGGGTTGCAGCGTGGTGGGAGGATGGGAGGGGGGTGGCAGCATGGGACACTTTGTAACAGACAGGAAATGTAGTTTGTTGTCTCATGACAAAGGGCTGGTTGCGATCAGCGCCTGTCATACATGTTATATCTGAAAAGTAAATATAACCTTTACTAGGAAGACTTGTCAATCAAGTACAATGTGTCTGTCTAGCTACTGAGGACATGATGCTCAACTTAAATAAATGCAGAGTTTATTATAGCATAGGCCATAAATACCTCTAGATGTCTGTATTATGTATAGCAGAATGAATAGCACCCTTCATTGGTATGCCTGTGGTGTAGTATGCTTCCTCAGTGTTTCTATGAACCAGCACCCTAACTGGCCAACAGGGCCATTCCCCCTTAACTAAGCTGAATGGTTTTGTTTTGCTTTTATTTTCACCAGAAGAATGGATCAACGATACAGTCGGCTGGATGATCGGGAATAGTATGTTATTGCTCCATATCGTGGACTCACTGCCTGTTTCTTCTCTCCTTTCCTCTCGCTGTAGTTAACCGAACTCATACCTCTTGTCCACTCTGCCCAGGCCGCTGTGGGTTTCCGCCTGTTTTCCACTCTTGATGGTTTAGTTTGTTTCCCCCCTTGTCCTCCAGAAGTCTGCCAGTGCCAGGCTCTCTAATCATTCTCCCTCTCCTCGTCACTGTTGTACGTCTGCTCTCGGGCGCGCCTGTCCTATCTCGCTGTCCTAATCAGATCTGTGTGTGCTAATCTCTGTGTTGACCCCCTTCTGAAGCTCCGACTTCTTCTCTGTGAGCGCAGCGCATGAGCCGCACAGGCAGGATGCTTACGGGGAGAGGTAATGTTATGTAGATAGTAAACGGGCCCTGACACGGTGCAGCTACAGTAAACCCTGTGTACTTAGATCTGAGAGGAACCATCCTGACTTCTCCTATTGTAGGAATGTGCGAGAGGAGGACTGACGGTGGATTACAGCCTCAGGCTCTCTCCTCATTCCATTAGAGATCTCTTAGAGCCCTGTGTTACGTCTTCCTTTCATGGAGTATTGAATCCTCAACTTTGTTTGAATTCCAGCAGTGCCTGGCTCATTTTCATACTCAGTTGTGATTAAATTGACATCACCTCCCTGGGGAGTGCAATCAAACGTATATAACAAGGCAGGGGTGTCAAACATATGGCCCTTGGGCCAAAACGGCCTGCCAGAGTGTCCAATTCGGCCTCCAGGATGACTTTGCAAAGTCTAAAAATGACAGAGAAGACTTTAACTGCAATTTATTTTGTATGTATAGATTTACAATGCAGGGGGATAACTTAACCCTCTTCCTTAATAATTCCCACTGTAGCTTGTATGGTGGTGTGTTAGTTCAGGTGGTCAGGGTAACTACACAGATGTGGAAATAATAATAATAATAAAGCAGCTTTATTTATACAGCACTTTTCATACAGCAGGTGCAGTTCAAAGTGCTTTACAAAATGGCACACATAACAAATTAAAACAAACAACAAGACATTCTCATTAGATCAGATGTTAAGACCTTTTTTAAAACAGGTGAAAGATATGATAATAAAAAACGATCAAATAGATAATGTTTCCCTCGGAAAAATACAGGAAGACGAAATGAACTGATACAACAAAATATACAAATAAATGAATGTAAAATAATTTCTAGAGCTTGACAATTTGTGTTGATCATTAAGTAATGTTGCTCAGTTCCAGATACCTTTGACTAAATGTTGTGTGCCTTTTGTAGATACACTGTGATCTGTAAGTTGTAATGCACATGTGTAAATGATGAACTGAGGCATAAAATGGTTGAAATTGCACTTATTTTTCTTAAGAAATGTCAGGTTGTTCATAATATTTTGTACATAAATAGTGAATTCAATAGTGCACTAAAACAAAGGGAACAATTAGGAGTTGTTTGTAGTTTATTATGCTATGACTTTAGTGGTCCGGCCTGCTTGAGACCAAATTGGGCTCTACAGTATGTGGCCCCTGAAATAAAATGACAAACTCCATCCAACTGCCTCTTAATGATCACTGGGTTTCTGCTGTTTTCTGTGAGTGTTCTTCTCTGTAGAGCTTTGCCTTCTAACTCTTTATCACAACCTTTCCTCTGACAGTGATGGTGTACTCAACCCGTGTAGAGTAGATTCCTAACGCTGCATAAAATGTGGCTGCAGAGATTGAGCCTGTGCTTCACTGGTTAACCAAACCCTAATCCAGTGGCCAGGTTAAACGGGTGAATCTCTCCAGTCCATTTCAGGGCGTGTCTGTGTGTGTGTTTGGTGTTGTCATCTTTTCTGCACTAATAACGATTCCACTGTCCTGGGACACGCAGTACTAACATCCCTGTATGGTACATGGTGTTAGTTAGTTGTGTACAATCCTGCAAATACTATGTATTGTTTTTTCTTCACACAGTGCCACTACCATGACATCAGATGCAACAGAACGCTACGAACGCCTCACTTCAGTTTCCAGCTCTGTCGACATCGATCAGAGAGACACTGTAAGTATGACATTTTTCTTAAAAGATCAAATCTGATGCATTTTCTTTTATTTAAAATACACTTGGGTTCCTTGTGATAACTGTCACATCTTCACCTCTCTCCTCTCTTTCCCTTTTAGGGCTTCTGCTCCTGGCTAACTGCCATCTTCCGCATCAAGTGAGTCAACCTTCTCAAGGCTTATTGGAAATAATAACAGTTGGTAAAACATTGATTTAACTGGATATAAAATGTTTCTGTTTTTTTTTCTTCTAATTGCTGTCTTTTTGTGTGGTTTCTCTTTAGAGATGAAGAGATAAGGGAGAAGTGTGGGGAAGATGCAGTCCATTACCTTTCCTTTCAGCGACACATCATTGGCCTGCTGGTAGTGGTGGGCGTGATGTCGGTGGGCATCATCTTGCCTGTTAACTTCTCTGGAAACTTACTTGGTGAGTGGTTTGGAATAAACTATTAGGGGATACTTTCAGTTCAAAGTTAGTCTGTTAATGTTTGACTAGGTGAGTCTGCCTTTTCTCGTTTGTATTTTACTTGCAGCTATTATCTATTTTTGTGTACTTCTGTTGGGCTGCAGATAAGCAGCACCAATGATGATTGACAAGTGATTATCATATTTCTTCTTTTTTTTTCAGAAAACAATGCCTACAGTTTTGGGCGAACCACTATAGCAAATTTGGATTCAGAGTGAGTAGTTCTTGTACCTTTTACTTTATACTTCTCGAGATTCAAGGCTTTATCGTCATGTGCACATGAGCAACAGTGTAGATATGGCAATGAAAAACTTAAGTCACAGGCTCCTCTCCACCAGTGCTGTATATGTATATGTATATGTATGTATATGTATATATGTATATATATGTATGTGTATATATATATGTGTATGTGTATGTGTATATATGTATGTGTATATATATATGTGTATATGTGTATATGTGTATATATGTATATATGTATATGTATATATATGTGTGTATATGTGTATATATATGTATGTGTGTATATGTGTATATATATGTATGTGTGTATATGTGTATGTATGTGTATATATATGATGTGTATATATGTATGTGTATATATGTGTATATATGTATGTGTATGTATGTGTATATATATGTATGTGTATATATGTATATGTATATATGTGTATGTGTGTATATATATAATATATATATATATATGTATGTATATGTGTATATATATGTATGTATATGTGTATATATATGTGTATATATATGTGTTTGTATATGTGTGTATATATATGTATATATATATATATATATATATGTATATATATGTGTGTATATATATATATATATTAGATAAATAATTAGCAAGATGCAAACTGATTAATGTTCATGGATATTCTTTACAGAGTTTAGGTGTTTATCAGTCTTATGTCCATGTGGAATGAAACTGTCCCTGAGTCTGGTGGTATACTGTACTAGTCTTCACTTCCTAATGCTGTGTCACTAAATCCTTTCCCTTTATTTCCTCAGAAATGCACTAATGTGGCTGCACACCATCTTTGCATTTCTCTACCTGTTACTGACAGTGTACAGCATGCGGCGGCACACCTCAAAGATGCACTACAAGGAGGATGACTTGGTGGGTGTACAATGTCTGTCACATACACTCCCTGTACACACAGATCGCAGGGAGAATTGTGTTGCTAATTTCCTCCCCGTCTTCATTTCCCCGCAGGTGAAACGCACTTTATTTGTCAATGGAATCTCCAAATACGCAGAGGAGGCTGAGATAAAGCAACACTTTGAGTAAGCAGTCTTCAGGATCACTGATATTTCACGACACCGATAAGCCGTATGAGAGTCATGCCTGATCCTGTTGAAAGCAGCTGTCTTGTGCTGGCCCATACGATCACACAATGGCAGGCCTATATGGTTAATTGTGCATAATAACAGCCAGATGAGCAGGATCATGCTAGTCATGTGTCAAGAGGGTCAAAGACTGAGGAGGGGGTGTTAGGCTCAAGATAAATAGCATCAGTGAAAATGGTTTCTTTGTTCTTTTCTGCAAAAATAGCCACTATGCTTTAGTACAGAAGAAACATTGTACAGGGAAAAGAAACAATTATAAAAGCATGTTACTGTTTGTGGCTGTTGCATTCATATTCTCTTTGTGAGTAGCTAATGTTATGGTGGTAGTCATCTTTAGTAAATACAATTTGCCGTTGTCGGGAATCGTGTAAGTTGAACTCTATGCCCTTCTTCAGGCAGGCGTATGAAAACTGCGTTGTACTGGAGGCTCGTATCTGTTACAATGTGGCCAGGCTGATGTACCTCAACTCTGAAAGGTAACAACAATCAACATTTAGTGCATACGTGTGTGATTGTTAAGCAATTTTGGATGAACTTGATTTGTTTAAGTGAAGTAGCCCTTCCTCTGTTTGACACAGCTGATTTAATTGTTTTGCATACAGGAAGAAGACGGAGCGCAGCAAGAAATTCTTTATTGACCTTCATGCCAAGGAGCACATTACCACCATGATCAATCCAAAACCATGCGGACATCTTTGCTGTTGCATCATTAAAGGCTGCGAGCGGGTAAGACTCATATTGAGGGACTGCGGATGGAAAGTAGCTCAAAGCTCAATCCGGCATATTTACGCTTGGCACATTTATTGTTTTAAGTGTTCATTAATGTTCAATGTCCCTACCAAATAAACGATTAAATAAATAAATATATTGTAGCTATATATCAGAGCAACACACTCCTGAACCGTGTTAACACGCTGAAATGTACAATATTTTTGGGGGAAAGATAAAGAAGGCATCTTGTTGAATTTACAGTACACAATACACCAACAAATCTATTATATATTATTATGCTCACTACAAACTAACTCCTCAAAATAATCATTCTTCATTTTAATGCAAGTATTATATCTAAAAAAGAAAGCTGTAGTTTGAGTGGATTTAGACTACATTAGAAGATAACCATGCAGTAGACTGTGTTTTTATTTAGTGTTATTCATTATTAATGGAATGTAAATGGCTTCTCCTTTTTAAAGGAAGAGGCAGTGGGCTACTATACCAAACTGGAGTCACAACTGAAAGAGGAATACAGGAAGGAGAAAGAAAAGGTGAACAGGAAGCCCCTGGGAATGGCCTTTGTCACCTTCCAGAACGAGTCCATCACTGCCATGTAAGTACATTTTACGTGGGGTAATATTTATGAATACACATCTGTGACGTTTAGTTTAGCAGATTATTTCACCCTCGGTAAAGTCTCCACTTTGTTTTGTTGTAATTTCATTTTCAGAATCCTAAAAGACTTTAACGCCTGCAAGTGTCAGGGCTGTCAGTGTCGCCGGGAGCCCAAGAGCTCTCAATTCAACGGCAAGCTCCACACACACAACTGGACCGTCAGCTACGCCCCTGATCCACAAAATGTCTACTGGTGAGAACACATTCAGCTCATATCGTCTGTCTGACAACAGGGCTAGATAAATAAAACAAAGTTTCAATATGATATAACTCCACACATTTCAAAGGGTGGATGCATTTTGGCAGAAGGAAGGCAAGTACCCAAAGGGAAATCTACAGGCACAAACTTGATTTGTATCGCTTGGAATAATCACTTGAGACTTTCTCTCTCAAGATGACAAAGGATTTTTTTAGCTGTGGTGTCAGATTACTGCGCAGCTGTGTCCATAACTGCGGGTCATCGCCCAGAGTCAATCTAACCTCTGCATCAACTCCATCCCACAGGGAGCATCTGTCAGTGGGAGGAGTCACCTGGTGGCTCCGCTGCCTGATCATCAACATTGTCCTCTTCCTCCTCCTCTTCTTCCTCACCACCCCGGCCATCATCATCTCCACAATGGACAAGTTTAATGTTACCAAACCTGTGGAGTACCTAAATGTGAGTCATTCCTTTTATGAGTGCAATCAGTTCAGGTGTTCTTATCTTTGCCGAGCGTTAAGTCCATGCCATCACATCACGATTTAGGCACTCTCAATTATTAATACAACATGTCCGCCACTCTCTGATCCGTCCTCCAGAATCCAATCGTCACCCAGTTCTTCCCCACCCTCCTACTGTGGTCCTTCTCCGCCTTACTGCCAACCATCGTCTACTACTCTGCCTTCTTTGAGGCCCACTGGACTCGGTATGTTTGTCTGGAGTCAATAACTCAGCATATATATAGTCAGTTATGTATTCCTTTTTTAGGTTAAGTGTGTTCTGTCTGCCCTGTTTCTATTTTAAAGACATGTCATTATTTCCTCTGGCCTTACAGGTCAGGAGAGAACCGGACCACAATGCATAAATGCTACACTTTCTTGATCTTCATGGTCCTGTTGCTGCCCTCTCTAGGACTCAGCAGGTATGTTTTTGACTTCTTCCCTGCAACACAATGAAATGTGAACCTGAATTCATCTTGGGCGAGCTGAGTAATTGAGCTGATGCCTTTCTCTCCTTTTGTCTTTGCAGTTTGGATGTTTTCTTCCGGTGGCTTTTTGACAAAAGATTCCTGGCAGATGGTAATGTTAGATTTGAGTAAGTAGGAACGTTCTCTAGATGTTCTAATGCAACACTCTAGCACTTAGAATAAAGCAGAACAGGATGAAATATTTACACCGTAACCATTTAAATACCATAAATAGTTCAAATTGTTTTATACAATTACCAATACAACATAAATCGTGAAAAATACAGAAATAACAAAAACAATAATAATAGTTCACATTTTGTATGAAAAATAATGATTTAATACTGTTTTTTATTTGAACCCCCTATAGGTATAATAAATGTACCGTAATTTTCGGACTATAAGGCGCACCTGAATATAAGCCGCAGCAGCTAAATTGAATGATGTGTACATATATAAGCCGCACTGGACTATAAGCCGCAGGTGTTTTAATGTTTCATTACCATATGTAAGGGTTCGTGCACAGAGGGGATTGTCGGGAAAGAGATGGCTGTTTGAGGAAGCTCCCATTTATTAACATTTCAACAAACAAGTTGCATATTTGCATAACGTATTCAAGTGTTACCATTTAGTGCAATAGTAGCTACAGAACATGTACTGTGCTGTGTAAACTGTACTGTATCACATAGCGTTTCAGACACACAAACTTTTCAACTTTCAAACTTAAACGGTGCGCTCCCACCGCACGTACCGGCAGTGATCTACAGCAGTGGTTTTCAACCAGTGGTACGGGGACAAACTGTCTCGCTCTCGTAATGTCTGCCTGTCTTGCTCTCGTTCTGTCTCTCGTACCACTCTCGGTTCCACTTTTACTTTTGCGCGCTACCTGTCTCACTCTTTTCCGGCCTCCAGCTTTTCCTGCTGGAAGCCCGCCGCTTAAAGGTGGGGGCCCGCGGACCGGCCATAGAGCCCATAGAGTTAAAGGTGGTGGCCGTTAGCTGTAAAAAATCCTAAGAGTGTAGCCGCACCGTTATATAAACCCGGCAGCGTGCGAAAAATGGGAAAAAAAAGGCGCGCTTATAGTAAAAAGAAAAATTATGGTATATGCCTTATTTTGGGCCAATATTTATTAAAATGTCACTAGTTATTTAAACCAAACCACTATCATACTATCAATAAAGAAGGCAAAGCCCATACACACGCCCCTTTTATCTAGAGATCATTGAGCCCCATGAAGAATTTATCCTTCGCAAGAAATCTTTTCATCCGCACTGTATTAATAAACAGTTGGCCACATGTTTTCAAATTCAAAGTCAAGGGCATATCTGTGGGCAGAACAATTAAAAATAATTCTTCATTTGCAGTATTTTATTTTTAAAGAAAGACTGCATCTAAAATGATACTGCTATAATACTATAACAATTATGTTGATGTGTATATAAAAAATATAAATATGCAATATTGTTATTACTTCAAACCAAAAAAGTCAATTTAAATAGCGGGCAAAAAAGGGCCATGGATGTGGTGTTTTGATATAAGGTTAAGCGTTCAATTTCAACTATTTTAGGGCAGAAAAACGTTTCATAGGAAAGGTGTGCGCATTTATTTTCCTCTCAGGTTGCTAATTACACAAAATCAAACCATCTATCAATTTAGCTTCTGGCTTCCACACTCCCACCAAAAAACATTTTTGTTGAATTCGGAACACATTTTTGCGAATAGCCTTCTAATTGACTGGCCCCCCAAATGCAATGAACTGGGACCCCTGATGGAATCAGGCGAGGATTGAACTAGGAGGCAGAATGGATCCGCTTATTTTAAAAAGACAAGGGGCAAGGTTCATAAGAGGCCAACAAGAAAGTCACAAGGTGTGTTAGTGTGCTGAAGGATATTTGTTTTACCAGCTAACCCCAGGCCATGAGCTCTAAAGACTTTCACAAAGGGTAAAGATGCTGGCTGCTGGAGTACTGACTGGAAGTATTTGGCTGATATTGAATGTCTACCATCCCTCTTAAAGTACTCTGTTCCAAACAACATCAGGTGTCAGAAAAAGGTGTTTTAACGCTGATTCAAAATAGCAGAGAAACATGCATGTCTTGTTCTCAGGAGGGGAACATTAACAGGATTACTCAGAAAAGTACACAGTAAGTACTTTCATAGTAGCTTGTGGGAGTAGTTTCACTACTGAGTGCCAACAGTGTCAACTCTCAAGGCGAAAGAACTAATGGCAAGAAAAAATAAATAACAAACTCGAGAGATCGGCTGAGTTGCCCCGGCAGTGCAGATCGGGCTGCATAGTTGTAAATCTCCTAAAACAAAGTGTTGTCCATTTTAGAGCCCCCACAAGGCCTAATTATATTTAGCAGCCCCTTAGATAAGCATTCGTTTTCATGGGCCTCAATGTGTTCCATGTGCTGTGTTGTGAAAACCAAATGGAGCGCGTCAGATATACCGGATTGAACCGTGCCTCCCATCTGCCGCTCCCTCCATTTCGTAAAGGTAACTTCGCGGTAGCAGAATATGAAAAACGCCGGTAGTTTTTTTGTTTTCTGTTGTTTCTACCGTGATTACAATTTTTGTTTTGAGAAGTATGAAAATGAAGAATCATCCCGTTTTTTATGTTTAAGTTAATCCCTTTTTGAAGCCCCGATATAAAGAAAAACGGCCCTTGTATTTTAAATTTTGGTTTTTCAAATTTAAACGAAAATTCAAATATCCAGTCGTTTTTTGTTTTTTCAAATATCCATTTGTGAAAAGAAAATCCCATAACCCAAAACAAGTACACTGACCCATGCGACAGGGGGGCAAGCCTCCAGGAAGGCCATTTTATAATAACACGGCGTAACTAACATTTGGCACCAAAGTCTTGATTTTCTAGCGCTTGACAGATATACCTGGCCGGGCCTTCAAGGGTCTTACAGACCAGAACCAACTGCTGGCTGCTCCGCAAGTGAGAGGCGCATGATACACAGAAGAGAGGTGCCCAGCTGAGGAAGAGACTGGCGCCTGGAGGTTATCATCGAGCCCACTCTTGTGCAACATGAGCAAATTAAAAAATAATTAAAAACTACCAGGCAAAGCCATGAGAAGCATTTAGAAGCTGGCGGTTTGTTTACCAGTATACCGATGAATCATTTTTAACACAATGAGATTGTTTGAATAGCTAAAATACTCAAACCTGCCTAGAACAGTCTGGTAAATATAGAAAATAACATCCCTTTTAAATGTAATGCAGTCCTTCAAAACCAGGAAAAAGATAAACGCTTTTTTAAAAAAAGACCAATTTAAGGAATAACATTGTCCAGTCTTACAGGGTATTTTAGAGGATATAAAGCGTCAGGAAGACGTAAATATGTCCTTTCTTTAAAATGCGCCTGTGCTAGCTATACATGGTGAGGTTGTGCGTATAAGTTAAGCTTTCACTCAGGCTAATCCAATGTGTTGCCAGGGAACCTGGGCCATAAAGCCAAACCAGTCTCAGCCGGTGATCTGCGAAATAAGCATGCTGCTGCAGAAACATTAAGAGGATGCTTAGCACCATAAAACCGCACACAAGCTGCTCTCCCTATTTTCCGGTTAGCTCACCCAAACACACACACACCCTCAAACTGCATAGTGTTCTTAGCCAAAATTCCCTTTTTCAGAAAAAGGGACAAAACAGAGTTTAAGTGTGCGCCTCTTCTCGTCCTAGAGCCCTTTCTTTAGCACCACCCATTCAAGAGCACACCTCGAGATTTTTGTTCTTGCCCTCCCCTAAGATAACCTTAAGCAGCCTTTCCTTTACACTCCCCCCCCTTCCCCTGCCTGTCTTGCTTGTCCCTGGTCAGCAGTCAACAGCAGCACCCTCCAAACAACCTGCCACAGAAGGAAACCGCCCACATGAGCATGCCCGCTCAGTGCCCCACAAAGCAGCCAACACTGAATAAAAGAGACCCCCCAAAACAGCCAGTAGGCAGTGAAAAAGGAGTTTAGAGAAAAAATGTGGGTAAAAAACCCAAAAAAGCATCAGAGCGTCAATATCCTCTTTCACGCCTGGCAAAACCCGTCCTGCTTCCCGTGCTAAGGGGAATCCCTGGCTGTGGGCGGGAGCCAAAACACGCTTGACGTAGCAATGGCCTTAAAACTACCATCTCGCCAACAAGCACCGCGCCAGTTTGCTTAAACGGGCCCTTTGTGAAATATTTGTATAACAATTATAACGCCACTTCTCCTTAGAGACAAGATAAAACGACGGTTATTTCCTTGCTATCGAAGTAAAAGGTTTGTTTGTGTTGTGTGTTTGGCCCAGGCCAATGCAATGTGTCGTGAGCGGAAGGGCAGGAAAAGAAGTCTTTGTTCCCGACAGGCGTTATTAAGTGAAGGCATAAAACCGGCAGCCTGGCTCACACTCGCGCGTTCGGCGGTTGAGTGGGACCCCCCCCTGCTGGGAGCCAGCCTCAGTCGAGAGGCGCAAACACCCTAAACGGGAGGGCAGATGGGCCTCAAAGAATGCAGCGCAGAAATCATATTAACCATCTCAGTTGGTGGCTGAGACTCAGTGCGCTTTGCTCCGTGTTAACGCCGACACGGGTTCTTCCTATAATGACCATCAGGAGGAAGGAAAAGAACCGGGAAGGAACATCCACAGGCGAGAGCACTCCTCCTGTTAAAAAGGGCAGGCAAACCAGTATTTTACTTGGATTAAGCTTGCCCCTTTGTGTGAAGTAAAATGAGTAGTCAATCGATAGAAAATAAGTAACTATCTACTTAAATAACTATTAATTGCGTTTCGTCAAACTCAAACAGTAGGCAAACTCCACGAAATTAAGAGGTTGGGAAGAATTTTTTATGCTGTAATAAAAGGCAACGCTGAAAGCGCGGAAGCCTGTTGGTTCCAGACAAACAAGAAATCTACAAAGCGCTGCATATAGTCTCCTAAGGAAATATCAGCCATTTAACTATTCCTTTAAACTCATTGACCAAGTCCATTTTTTATGTATTATGTTCTCTACAAAAAAATAACTGTAATGAAAATCAAGGTGACACCCCCATTCGTTGCCTACCAATTCGGAAAGTCCGCTTTACCGGCAACATTAAGGGAGAACCAAAAAAACCAGATCGTTATCGTCAAAGGTTTGAGAGTCGGGTT